TTCCCCGCCCCCCCCCCCCCCCGCCCCTAGCCAGCGGTAGGGACAGACGGGTGGGTCTTCATGTTCTCCGGGTGCACTTCGGAGAGAAAGAGCGCGCTCTTTGCTTCTGCTGCTGTTGGCTTGCATCGTTGTCCCCTCAGCGGTAGGGACAGACGGGTGGGTCTTCATGTTCTCCGGGTGCACTTCGGAGAGAAAGAGCGCGCTCTTTGCTTCTGCTGCTGTTGGCTTGCATCGTTGTCCCCTCTTCGGGCGAGATCAGTGCTAGCTGCTGTAGGCTTATGGTTTTAGATCGCTTATCTCTTCTTGTGAGAATGGATTTGTGTACTCTGCATCACCCTCATCTCGGGCAGGTACTGCTGGGGGCACTGCGCGCGGGGCCCCCCCAGTGGCGTGACGTGGCACGTCGTGAGGGCTCGTAGAAAAACCCCACCCCCGCCACCCCCCCACCCTCCCCCGTGCTTTTTCCTGTGGAAAACAAGCAAACGACGTAGCAGTTGGAAACTAAATCAGAGCAGGATTTTTTTTTTTACTGCGTGCAATGAAGTGTGTGTAGTGTCATTTTTACAGCAGTGGAAGATGAGGAAAAAAGGGACTTGGGCAAGAGCACATCGAAAACCATCATCCTGCTGTTGTATTCCCAATGCAGTAATGAATAGTTGGCAAGGATATTTTATTATAGGATACACTGTGTCCTTTCCCTCTTGAAGGAAGGAGGAACAAGTTAGAGGAGGTAGTCTCTGGAGGTTCATGTGATAAAAATACTGAGGAACTTGCAAGCCATGCCACCATAAAGCAGTTGAATAGTATCTGAGAAATGCTTTTTCGGGGAGGGAGTTGAGGCACTGCTGCTCTAAGATTGTGCTCTTGCATGTAATAGTCTCCCCCCTCTGGCAATGATGTAGCTTTCAGAAAAGATGATTATTACTAATTTAAGCATAAACAGATGCATTTGCTGAAAGAGAACCCTGTTAAATTGCCTATGTTCTAGCTGTCCCTAAAGAAAGGCAACTATGGGAAAGACAGAAGCGTGGATCTTCATGTACATAGGGTTTATTCTGGAGGAGGAAGAGTAGTTCACCGTCATTCCGCGTTCTGATGGTGAACCTGTTGCCGTTTAAATTTACTGGGAGCTAGTGTGCTCACATAAATTTTGTTGGGAGGACATAAATTTTGTTGGGAGGACAGATTTGGTTCTAGTCAAGCTGAAAAACAACTGCAATAGTTGTTACAGTGCAAGAGTTCTGTGGGACTAGGTGACTGTCTCCTTAGCCGGAGGTTACTGGGATGCTTCTTTAGAGAACATTAACGATATGTGAGTGAAGTGGTCTAAAAGTTGAATTGCTTATGTGAAATTTTTCTGTGTCCTGGCTACAGGATTAAGTCTCTAAATTGTCGGCTTTTTTTATTTTTTTTTAATAGATCATCAGCTATTAAACTAAGTTGCTGTTGAAATAACTGAAGCGATCTATTGCCTTCTTGCATGTTCTCTAGAGCTACTTGGCTGAATGTTTTTAAAAGCATTGAAGACCTATTTTTCTTTCTCTTTAAAATACATCCAACAGTTTAATTTCCCACGCATAAAACTTTGGAGCTCTTAGTTGATAACAAACACTTTTAGTATTTGCATTTATTTGTGGTAAATCGACTTTTTCAATATTAAGAAGGTGCCACACTTCAAAACCTTAAGGCTTGAAGACCTAGTTTTCATAGGGCTGGCAAACTTCTTGCACTAGCAGTTTTTCCCCCTCCCTTTGTTCAGGGTGATTTCCACTCTTTTGCAATTAAAAAGGTGAAGTTGCAGACTTGACATAACCTTGCCAGGCTATTTTTACATGTAAATGTGAAGATGATAGTAACAATGAAGTTAAGAGCATCCGTGTGCCGTGTCATGCGGTGGCTTACTATTTTAGTCTTGATGAGTGTAATTCAGATGTCAGTCTTCCCAGATTCCTTTTGGTGTATGTGAACTTGACTGAAAATGCTTCAGAACATCTGCCAAAAGTGGGAACGTTGTGTTGAAATAATGTTGTTTTTCAAGTGCAAAGTTTTGAAGTGTACTCTATGGATAAAAGGGGAAACTTAAGAAACTACTAGTGACTTTTGGACTGTGCGGTAAGAAGTGGTTTTTCGTCAATATCTTAGGGTTTAGATTACTTTTTTTGACCCTGAAATTTCCCACAATTGTTTTCCTTATCACTGTAACAGTCACAGGTGAGTGTGAAGGAAAAATAATGTAATGATTGTAGCTTTTAAGAGTGCTCGTAAATGTATTTTGAGCATGGTTAGATGTTGACTGAACCTGAAACTGCTGACTACTTTTGGTCACTATACTTCCTGCTGGTTGGTCAATTCTGATAATGGTAGCATAAGGAAG